TACTGACACATTCTACAACATGGATGAATCTCAAGAACATTATGCTAAACCAGAGGAGGCAGTCATAAAAGATCACATATTGTATGAGTCAATGAGTATTTATATGAAATGTCCAGAATATGCAAACCTATAGAAACAGAAAGTAGATTAGCAGTTGCCTAGAGCTTGGGAGATTGAACACAAATAGGAAGTGACTGCTAATGAGTACAGGATTTCTTTTTGGGGTAATGAAAATGTTCAGGCATTAAATATTGGTGATGGTTACACAATTCTATGAATATATTAAAAACCATTGAATTGTACAATTTAAATAGATAAATTGTATGGTATGTGAATTATATCTCAAAAACGCTGTTACTTAAGAAAAGAAAAAAATATATAACTAGAAAGCAAATATATGGAAAAAATATCAACTTCACTGATAACCAAAAATATGCAAACTTGTAAGGTGGCATTTTCACCTAACAAATCAGCAAAATAACTTTTAAATACCAACCCTGTCCAGATTGCAAAGCAACCACTACTCTCCTGTACTTCCAAAGGTAGAAGACATTAGTATAACCCGTAGAAAGCAATTAAAGGACTGGAATGGGGAACAGAAGGAAGAATCTGCCTTCTCATTATCATCTCACATTTTAAAGCCAAAAGTACAGCCACTTAGACCTCTGGAGTCACACCCTGCCTTTCTCAGCAGCATTGAGTGCTTTTCCTAGGACACCTGGTTTGAATTCAAGACACACAGTAACTTTAATCTAATCCAGTTCTGGATCCTACACCTCAGCTAGGTCACTGCAAGTTCTTCTTTTAGCAAGGACATAAACTCAAGGCATGACCATGCTGCCCAGTGAACAAGTCCTTGATGAACAGCGGAAATCTGGGTTGGGCACTGCAATATTTGGGACCTGATATTTCTTCTCAAAACTTTAGCACTAAAAAAGCCAATAAAAATTTTCAGATGTCCCATAATTTAGCATTAACTTCTTTTCTAAAATAGGGTGTAAAGAAACGAACTGTCAGCAGAAGGTGAAGTTCCACTCTGGCACTACTCCTGCTCCAGAAAGCCATAACCAGCTGGTTGGCTGATGCGTGCAAAGGACAGAAACAGGATGATTTCATTTACCAAAAGCAGGGTTCATATTATGATATCCAAGGATGAAGTCATCTTTATTCCTATCTCTGCACCACTAAAATCTCCTTGCAGGGCAGATAACTTTATTTACTGCTGGCATAATGCCACCATCTGAAGATAAACTAATCAAGGACATCCTATATCATTTCTAATTCTATCTCCTCTAATTTAACTTATTTGATTAAATTATTCTATATGCACAAATTTAGAGGTATCTTTTATTCCCCTCAGAAAACAAACTATCAGAGAAGACTATTAGTAGATGTTTCTGTAACCCTAACAAAACAAGGACAACACTAAACAAATATTTAATGCACACAGCTTTCATTTAGTCACATTTTCTTTGGCCCTGCCTCCACATTTGGAAGAAGGGGGAGAATAACACATGGAAAGCTCCTAGCATACTGCCTGGGACACGCTGGTGTCCAGTAAATGCTGGTTCTCCAGCCCCATGAAATTAGACAAGCCGGGCAGAATGGAAATAGAAAGCTGAAGCACACAGAAATAACGATTTGACCAACATCAAACAATCAGGAGTGAACACAAATATAGAACCCAGATAGAGGGTCTCCAAGCAAAACATTGCCCTATTAGCTTCAGCGCAAGAAGGAAAACCAAAGGTTCCTGAAAAAATTACTCCATAAACATTCCCCTAAAAATTCCTTAACATTTTTAATGAAATAGTATGTTTTCAATAGTCTAGATTTTTATCTAAGTATCTGAAACCTTCTGTGGTTAGAGAAGATTCCCCAGTCAGGTGACACAGGAACAGGAAATGACAACAAAGCTGACATTCACTGTGTGCTAAATAACAAGGTACTGGTAAGTACATGAGTTAACCCATATTATCCTCACAACAGCCTTATGGCAATTATTATTGTTACTTCATAGATGAGGATCCTGAGGCACAGAGAAGTTGAGCAACTTAGCCAAAGTCCCACAAGCTAAGAGGTGGCAAGGCCAGGATTCCAACACCGGTGGGTCACTTTACTGCAGTGCTCTGTTGCCTCTCACAGCTTAGATTAGCAGCCGAGGAGAAGCCAAGGTCAGCCCCCTTTCTGAAGAGTCACTGCCCTTCGGGAAACAAACAACTCTAACATCACTGAACATACCCACCCTTAGAGACATTCAGAGAATGGCACTGCCTCAGAAACATGATTTGGTGGTTCCAGGTTATGAAAAAACATTTTTCATGATACTCACAACTGTCTTCAAAAGTTCTCCCCGAATTTTATTCTTGCTAGTGAATGAAGAGCCAATACTAATAAATAAAATGCCCAAAGGTCCTAGCAAACAGAAGTTTGTTCACCATAGAACAGCTGGGAAGTGAGGGGGAAACCACTGCGCAGCTGCCTCTGCCCAGCAGAACAGATATAGGAGCAGTACATGGGATTTCCTACTTCACAGGGCCAGTCAGAAAGCAAAGCACTATTTGCCTAGGCTTGCCCAAGGCTTTTAGTTCTTTCAGATTCCATTTCCCTAACATTTCTGTTTTTAATTTAGCAAAATTCTTATTAAATCAAAATTAAGTTTTAAAATTAAGCTCAAAATTTTAAAAAAGAAAAAGGCCAACCAGATATCGTCGGCATAGCACACAATTAATTATCTATCTTGCCACATAAAAACCCTTGAACTTCCCACCAAGGCCATGAATAACTTAAGAAAAGTCATTTCCCTCCTGGACTTCTGATCTATCAACAGATAATTTCTTCAGTACCTACTACAGTCAAAACAGATGTTAGGTTCATCTAGTGTCTCTCATTGCTAATACCCCAGCTTGCTGAAATATGGGGAGGCCCAAAGTGGTTTCCCATAAAGGAAAACTCATACTAAAAAATCAAAACCAGAAATTTGAAAGTCATCTACATACAGAGAGATTTAACCCCAGACTGAAGAAGTTGCTTCCCCATGCCACCTGGTCAAATACTGTTTGAGCACTTTCTGTAAGTAAAGTTGTGGGGAAACGACACGGCTCTGTATTTGTTTGCAGTGGCCTGGGAGAATGAACTGAATGAGCCTGGACTAGGTGTCAGGAGGCTGAGTTCTAGAACCAGCTTTGACCTAACTTCTTGTGTGTCCTTGGGCTCTCGCTTCCTAGACCTCAATTTTCTTGAAATCTAACATCCTATGATCATCATTTTCCCAAGATCAAAAAAAATTTTTTCTTTACAATTCTCTGATTGTGTGAGTCACCCTGATGGTCTGGCTAAGGAACCCAATAGTGAATGGGTGGTTATGAATGAATACAATGGAAAGTATATCCAGCTCTGCCAATTCCTACATCATTAAGGCCACACAGAACAGTTCCAAAATGACAGGTCTGGACAACAGTTGAAGAGTAAGCTACAAAATAAGGGCCCCTCAATGGCCATGGATGTGTGGTCAACAAAAACAGCTCCACTGAGATAAGCAGACTTCTCCACTGCCAAGCACTGGCCACCAGGAGGCAGGACAGTGGAAGTAACGTGGACTCTGAAAGTGGCCTGCATAATCATTTCTCTAAAGATCATATCATAAGTTTTGAATACCAAAAAATAATTCCTTTCTCTTAGCAACCTTCTGACAGAACAACATTTTGGCAAGACAGCCAAATACCTTCCTGAATTCCCAGACATCAGGAGCCATGACTTATAATCCATTTTGGTCAAGGCCAGGTCAAAGGTTTCCCATCATTCTGTCCACCTCTTCTTCTGTGGTTCTCTCTCCACTCCCCCTGCCTCCTAAAAGGCAATTCTGGTCCTTATTACACACAGCAACACACTACAAAATGATTTGTGAAAAAAATAACTTCCAGTCTGTACATCTATAAAATAACAAAAGCTAGCAAGGCTTCGGCAGTCCCTCTCTATTCTAATCCTTTTGGAAACAGAGAGCCCAGAAAATTGATGGAAGATAAGACATCTGATCATTTTCAAAGTCTCACAGGATTTCTAATCATTTCAAACCATCTCACAGGCTGCATCTCTGGGTCTGAAGGTATTAATATCAGCATCCTGCCTGGGTTAGAACTCCAGGAAGTTCTACTAGCAGCAGGGACTGTTAGGAGCTACTGCTATTAATACAAATAAGTAACATTTATAAAGAATCCAATATGTTCCTGAATCTGGGCTAAGTACCTTTATTCACATGACCTTATATAATTCCCACAAGAATTCCATGAAATATGCTCTTTTTAGAGATGTGAAAATAGAGGCTAAGAGGTGAAGGAACTTAGGAAAAAGCAGAACCAAAAGACAAGGATCCTTCTAAACAGACAAGTTGCCCACACCACCCAGGCCCCATCCATCCTTGAGCCTCCTCTGCCTGAGGGTTTGAGCTCAGGGCCTCACTGGTTCTCTGCTCAGAAGACCGTCTTGTCAGCTGCTGGTTGCCATTCCTATACCATAGGCAAACCACTGACTGCTGGAAGAAGACCATCCCACATGATCTCAGGGGATCATCCAAGTATCTCCAAGCTCTAAGCAGGTCAGTTGAAGTCCCCAGCAGACCTCTGCCATCAAGGTAAAGTCTCCCAAACGTCAGGTGAACAAATGTTGGCATAGATTCCACACAAGTACAAATTAAACTCAACCCATTTTACTTAAGAAATGGGACCGATTACCCAGCTTCAGTGTGCTTAGGGTATTAACAGATGCATACTGTCATTTCGCACCCAAAGCGTGTTAAAATGCTTCACAAACTTTGAACCATATATTTTTCACCAGGTACCACAGTCACTACCATGGTCTCCTTAGCATTAAGGAATATAACTAAAGCGCTGCACCCAGAGGCAGACAAATTAAAGACTTCCCAGAGGTTGACTACAGTTGTCTACAATCTGATCTGGAAAAAAAAAATTATCAGCTAGAACAAACGCATGGTCCTCACTTACCTTTTCTATCTCTTGGAGGTACAGCAGTGCAATATCCCCTGCTTTCTCATAACAGGTAATGACATCCTGTTCCCGGTCCACATGGAGATTACTGGTAGAAGATGAAACAGGCAGCTTTTCTAAACAAAGTCCTAAAAAAAATCAAACACAAAAAAACTGGTTAAGTTGTTTCTCATGGGGCTTACATTTTAAATATTGCTCTAAAGAACCAAAAAATGGTCCCAGGATATCCCAGAGATTACTGGTAGAAGATGAAACAGGCAGCTTTTCTAAACAAAGTCCTAAAAAAAATCAAAAACAAAAAAACTGGTTAAGTTGTTTCTCATGGGGCTTACATTTTAAATATTGCTCTAAAGAACCAAAAAATGGTCCCAGGATATCCCAGCTATCAGAAAAACAGATTCTCACCCTCTGTCCTTTCTCTTTAAGGACAAAATGAAACAT